TGGACCAAGTCGTAAAACAGTGAACAATTAACGATGCTGTATTAATAGGTTATTGATAGTGAGATAAGCACTATCGACAAATCCATCGTACGTATCGTCATATTCCCTGGAACAGCTGGTCTCACTAAGCGTGTGCGATCGTCATCATGGCTATCAAGTGATGATAAAACTAACGGGATTAACGCGATTAGATGAAAATGCAAATATTGTCGATGGTTTTCCCGATCCTCTTTGAGAATGCTCACAGTGGACAGATCGTGATAGGAACAATAGCCGACGGGCAATGTTTTCTGTCAAACGTTGAAATCCTCACATGATAATGACGAAATACATTGATGGAGCGTTACGGGACTAGGAGTGTGACAAGGGCCTGCTCCCTTCCCCTTCTTTTTAATGATTCTGTCTGAATAGCTGAACACGCAACTCTGTTCAATTGCTTTCTGGTTTCAGTAATTATCTGTCGGTGTTATACGTATAATTTTGATTATGAAATGTCTTCCGGTTCAAGAAAATATGACTGTAAGGCAGAGCGAAAGTTGTATCCATATAGTTACACATTGTACACATCCCTGAGATTCAGATGCAGTCTAGTCTATAGAACGCCTACACGTATATAAGAGCATAAGTGTATTTAATAATTGATTCAGTTGAGACATCCAGAGGGATGGCTATACTCAGTTTGAAGGAGTCAAGGATTTAATCCAGCGGTGAAGACCATCATACCTGCAGTACATACGTTGTTAGATGCTGATACCATTGGTGCGCATTGCAAGTATTGACAGCAATAACTCACATTACTCCTCTTTCCACACAAAAAATTATCAAAAACTTTAAACAATGAATAAAATCTGTGTCGGGTTGGCATTAAATAACATAAGTCTTGAATATAATGGTAAAGGGATCCAAGACATCCCTGACACATTATTACGACATTGGCATATACAGGACAATTGAATATGTAGCATTTATTATTTTCCAATGCATTACAATTTTCAATATGCTGAACATAATTTAAACTTAAATCTGACACTTAACTTTTGAAACTGTTCTATTTTACATTAAATATCATGACATCGTCGCGTGTTCGATTTAGAGGTTTGCCAGACAGCCTGGGATCATGATTTGTAGTGCATTCGCCAGAATCATATTATAAACGTCAGTTTTTATATTTTAAAAAAGATGTCATTTATTTAGAATAATTGCATTTGCTACTTCAATTGTTGACGGAATAATGCTGTATATTTGTTGAACTCGTTAGTATTGTAAATACCGCCGTGCTATCGATTAATGCGGTGTCAGTTTCATTCATTTCATTCAGGTCTTTGTGTCAGCGTGTTTCTGTGGTAGACCTAGGAGATGGGGATTTAGAGATAAGCTAGAGTCAAGGGACTGTTCTTGTATGTCAGTTCAAACATATCTTTCATCTTCAAATGTCTCAGGTACTTCAGACTATTTATGATTAATATATGCCATATCAACAGCATTTCACTGTTCCATTTGTCTCCGGTTTCTCAGAGAGTGTTTGGCTAAAATCAAGGCGACACTGACTCCCTGTATGGATCCTACTTATTATTCCAGTCAGGCCAACTAACTTTTTTCGATCTCAGACGAAGGGGGGTAACTCTTAAACAGTCATCACAAGTCATTGCGCTAAATTGATCTCTGAAGAAAGAGTCAGGCAGGCGCCCAATCAGCTCAGATCGATTCGTGCGGAGAGGATCAGAGGGGTATCGAGGGACTTTGCCCCATCAAGGGGTTCCAGCTGAACCCTGACCTCAGCTTCAGTATACCACGGCCAGCCAATAACGGTGGCAGATTTTATTTGGCGGAGGCTTGAAGCATCTGCTAGAGTCCTGATACCGCAATTTTGACTGCTTTATCTTGGATTAGACCGGTCCCTTGAGATAATGTCTTTGCCCGTAACCATGTATCCACGATCGGAAAATTATCCTTCGGAAGGCCTTATCAATAGCATGAGCTAAAGACATTTGCCTGCTGCTGCGACTCCCATCATGGGGGATACGGGCAGACGTCAAAATGACAAATTGATTGAAAGGCAGACGACAGCCCAGTCTAGTGGCGCGCGCGGGAAAATCCATTGGGATTTGCCCAACATGATCGCCAAGCTCCAATGCTAACAAGCGCGGAGTGGGCCAGATATTAATATGCTCTATGATGAGCCATCTTCTGGAGAATGTCAGAAATGTAATGGGCGATTTGACGAGATAGTGTCAGCGCAAATTTGAAAACTTAGACAAACGAGGATTGCAAGGCAGCATTTCGATGTTTGCGGAAGATCCGGTCGCATATCTTGCCTCATCTTCAACTTCTTGTGGCCACGAGCCCTACTCTCCAATGGGACCGGCCAGCCTCGATCTGAGTCTCAACCAAAGACTGATATGTATGCATCAGGGCGCACGCGAGCTGAGATGCACGTGCATTCGCATATTGCTCTGGCCAAAATAAATTGGAGGACACCAGAGTTCATATCCTGCAACTCACCTCCCCATCTGTCGTAGTGTATAGTTCCTTTATTTCACAAGATGTTCGGTGCGAAAGTTTCACTTTTATTTGATTTCATTTGTGATAACCCGGAATTGCATTCAACTCACGATCCTCGTTTGTATACTCGGGCCCCGTCTCAGGTTTACAAAGTCACAAAGACAAATCGGGAAGTTTCTTTGTCTTCTGTCCGTCTGTCGGACTCGGGGGTCCAAATCAGGGTTAAGAAAGGATTAAATCTATGACACCACCAGGAATCTCCGATCAAACCTTGGTGCAATTGCTATGTATTTGACTGGTCGGAAACGTGTTTGTTGAGGAGCGGAACAGCTAAATGAAAGCCCCTTAAAACACGGATGATTAAGATGGGATTTGATTAACCATTTCCATTGTGCAGTTCCTCTTACAGGTGACACATTGTTGAAATGCTCTCAAGGCTTCTGTCCCATTTCTGAAAGACTTATTTTTGTTAAAAAAATTATATCCGTAAAACTAATGGCCAGGATGTTATTGACAACACTTCAGTTTGTGGGTGAAACGTTAATGTTGTAACCTTTGAAAGTTTTGACTGTAGACCAGTTTTGTCATATGCTACTCAAAATGTAAGAAACCACACGATTGTTTCATACGTAATCTGTTGTTGCATGACAGAATAATTATAGTAATATGAAAGTATTGGATGGTCCTTAACTTTATTTATTACTGTATATTATATATTGTTTGCATTTACCGTTATGCATATCACCAAGGAACACAGTGTGATTTTACTGACAAATCTCCTTCATCAACCACCAGCTTGTCAATCGCCGTTTGGATTCAAAACCATGTTGTGTTATAACTTGTACCTAATTAGAGTGAGTGAGTGAGTGAGTATGGTTTTACGCCGCTTTTAGCAATATTCCAGCAACATCACGGCGGGGGACACCAGAAATGGTCTTCACACATTGTACCCATGTCGGGAATCGAACCCGGGTCTTCAGCGTGACGAGCGAACGCTTTAACCACTAGGCTACCCGACCGCCCCTGTACCTAATTAGAACCTTGTTATAATTTCAATAGTGTTTCTTTGATACACTGTGGAGGTACACTAGGGTGGAAAGTTGAATTTTGACCAAAGTTTTATTCATTACAACAACATGCAACAACAACTACAACCACTGCCACAATCACTTGTACAACCATAACCACGGGCACACCCACTGATACAACCAAGGCAACAATCATTGCTGCAACCACGACCACAATCACTGCTACAACCACGACCACAATCACTGCTACAAGCACGATCACAAGCTCTGCTACAAGCACGACCTCAATCACTGCTGCAACGACGATCACAATGATGGCTACAGTCATGACCCAAATCACTGCTACAACCACGACCACAATCAATGCTACAACCGTGACCACAATCACTGATACAACCACGACCTGAATCTATGCTACAACCACTGCTACAACCACGACCACAATCACTGCTACAACCACGACCACAATCACTGCTACAACCACGACCACAATCACTGCTACAATCACGGACACAATCACTGCTACAATCACGGACACAATCACTGCTACAATCACGGACACAATCACTATTTCAGATACAACCACTACCACAATCACTGCTACAATCACGGACACAATCACTATTTCAGCTACAACCACGGACACAATCACTGCTACAATCACGGACACAATCACTGCTACAATCAAGGACACAATCACTATTTCAGCTACAACCACGGACACAATCACTGCTAAAATCACGGACACAATCACTGCAACAATCACGGACACAATCACTGCTACAATCACGGACACAATCACTGCTACAATCACGGACACAATCACTATTTCAGATACAACCACTACCACAATCACTGCTACAACCGCCACCACAATCACTGCTACAACAGCGGACACAATCACTGCTACAATCACGGACACAATCACTATTTCAGCTACAACTACAACCACAGTCACTGCTCTAACCGCCTCCATAATAACTGTTTCATCCTTGACCATAACCACTGCTACAACCACGACCACAATCACTTATACTCCACAACCACAATCACTGCAACAACCACGACCACAATCACTTATACTCCACAACCACAACCACTGCAACAACCACGACCACAATCACTTATACTCCACAACCACAACCACTGCAACAACCACGACCACAATCACTTATACTCCACAACCACAACCACTGCAACAACCACGACCACAATCACTTATACTCCACAACCACAACCACTGCAACAACCACGACCACAATCACTTCTACTCCACAACCGCAACCACTGCAACAACCACGACCACAATCACTTCTACTCCACAACCACAACCACTGCAACAACCACGACCACAATCACTTATACTCCACAACCACAATCACTGCTACAACCCCGGACACAATCACTATTTCAGCTACAACCACTACCACAATCGCTGCTACTGCTACAACCACAACCACTGCTACAACCATGGACACAACCACTTCTTCAACCACAACCATTGCTACAACTATGGACAAAACCACTGCTACAACCATGGACACAACCACTGCTACAACCCCGGACACAACCACTGCTACAACCACAACCACTGCTACAACCACGACCACAATCACTGCTACAACCACCACCACTGCTACAACCATGGACACAACCACTGCTACAACCACAACCACTGCTACAACTATGGACACAACCACTGCTACAACCATGGACACAACCACTGCTACAACCCCGGACACAACCACTGCTACAACCACAACAACTGCTACAACCACGACCACAATCACTGCTACAACCGCCACCACTGCTACAACCACGGACATAACCAATGCACCAACCCCGGACACAACCACTGCTACAACCACAACCACTGCTACAACCACGACCACAATCACTGCTACAACAGCCACCACTGCTATAACCATGGACACAACCACTGCTACAACCACAACCACTGCTACAACTATGGACAAAACCACTGCTACAACCATGGACACAACCACTGCTACAACCCCGGACACAACCACTGCTACAACCACAACCACTGCTACAACCATGGACACAACCACTGCTACAACCACGGACACAACCACTGCTACAACCATGGACACAACAACTGCTACAACCCCGGACACAACCACTGCTACAACCATGGACACAACCACTGCTACAACCCTGGACATAACCACTACTACAACCCCGGACACAACCACTGCTACAACCACGGACACAACCACTGCTACAACCATGGACACAACCACTGCTACAACCATGGACACAACCACTGCTACAACCACGGACACAACCACTGCTACAACCACGGACACAACCATGGACATAACCACTGCTACAACCACGGACACAACCACTGCTACAACCCCGGACACAACCACTGCTACAACCATGGACACAACCACTGCTACAACCATGGACACAATCACTGCTACAACCACGGACACAACCACTGCTACAACCACAACCACTGCTACAACCATGGACACAACCACTTTTACAACCATGGACACAACCACTGCTACAACCATGGACACAACCACTGCTACAACCATGGACACAATCACTGCTACAACCCCGGACACAACCACTGCTACAACCACAACCACTGCTACAACCATGGACACAACCACTGCTACAACCACAACCACGGACACAACCATGGACACAACCACTGCTACAACCATGGACACAACCACTTCTACAACCACGGACACAACCACTGCTACAACCATGGACACAGCCACTGCTACAACCACGGACACAACCTCGTGCTTTTTACGATCTTAAAAACATTCACGCGAATCAAATTATATGTCCTTTCTAAAAGGTTTCATAATGATGTACATGGTATATATAGTTTGACCTCGTTAGTATGGAACTGATTAGTCTGGGAACCCCGTCTTTCGGATGTTTACTGTTAGGAACATGTATACATGCTAAAAGAAACCGGAGACTCCTTAATCCGGACTATGTCACTGCGAATGGTACCGTCTGAATCAACGAATTTTAATTATATGTCAAACACATCCAAAATCGTGCCAGACTGAAACGAAGCATATTATTAAAAAAACAGTAGATCGTATAAAGTACAATAAAATTATTTCCAATCATAACAAAAATAGGTAAACCTTTCAAAATCACAAAACATGCTGAACACGTTTCGATGCTTTAGAATTTAATCAGACCTAAGGACCGTCATCCTACAGTCGTTGTACGAAAACTGCAACTCCCAAATGTCATTCTATGCATAGCAAAATAAACGGAAAGTCATTGCAATATACAATTAGAAATCGAAAGCAAGTTTTTTCAATCTACCGTTTTATTTGTTACGAACAAGAGCCATACCCAGCTCACTCGCTAAAATGTACACTGTCGAAACCGTTATCCTAAAGAGTGAGCTAGGTATTTGGCGTTACAGTGTGAGAGATCGTCGTACACATGCGATGGGCCTGGCGTTAACTATGACCCGCACGTGCCGTTCGTACGTGTTTGAAAGGTCAGCTTCAAGGTCATGTTCTAATTTCACTCGCCATATGTGTTTTGGGGAGTTTTAATAGTCTCATTTGCGGACAAAATATACCGGAAAACACCACAAAATGAAGTAATCAATTACGATATGGTCGTCAGGTGTTTCCCCATCGTACAGGTGCGCGAAGGCAAACTTTACCAGGAAGATTAAAAGGAAAGGATAGGATTCATTTCGGGTAAAAGGTGTGTTGTCAGTGTTTGATTTACCGGCGAGCAAGGGACATACATCTTGTAGTTTTCGCTTCGCACTCCTCGGGTAATAACACCTATTGAAACGCAGGTTTAATCTGTATTGATATACCTGCCACACTTACCTGTGACAGGTGAAAATCTCTTTGATGATTGCCGGTACACTTTATCATGTAAACAATACTAAACGAAATACCGGTTTGAGCCAAGAGCAGAATACCACTGGCCTTTTTCGCGTTACCCCTGTCCAAACATAAGCCCTTCAAATAACCCACTTGTGGCTAAAATATATATAGATATAGGTGGAGGGGCAGGAACTAGGCTTAAATGCAGTGCGATCTCTGTTTTCCCAGAAAGGGAATAGCGTAATTACGGAAGCAAACATCTTTCATCTTTGGTGCAAGTTCATATATCGCAGAAAATATATCACTTTTTCACTTCGGTTCACAATCGGTTCACTCACAGTTGATATTAATGTTATCATTCCTACTTCAATTTGCCAATACTGGTTTCGAGTATTTACACATGTGTGTAGAAATATGTTAATTTAGTTGGTTTGAATCGCCGGTATTTAATTGGCCTTGGCGGATCCAGGAGGTGAATCGTAGTGGGTTTGAACTTCATTAAACGATCTTACAAAAGAAATATTCAATTATTTAGAATAGGTTCTGTATAAGATATATACTATTTTCATCAGTTTGATTATCTTTACAAAAACGGATATAATAATAAAGACTATATATAACTAATGTAAAGATCTGAAAAACGTGTTTCCCTATCTAGCGATGTGTGTTTGAAGTAGCTATAAACGTGTGGGGCGGTAATATGTGCAGGTATCTAATATTAATATATGAAATATAAGTTGATTAAAACGTATTTTACTGTTCTACTATTATTAAAAACATTCATTATTATGAAAATGTTTTTCTCACTAGAGGTATACCGGTAAATACCACTTAAATCAAACAACGCCATGTACCAATTGATATGAAATGTAACCCGGTTTTCATCGCGAATTGGTGTAATTTGATACCGGTTAATCCCACTTATTAGATATCCTTCTTTGGTGTGTAGGCTCTCCTTATATCCATTAACTTGACTAATGCTATATCCCGTATGTTAATTAACATTAGAATCTAGTTTAGCACACAATAAAAATGCATATGTTGCAGACTTAGTTCTATTTCTTTGCTTTATGTCGTGGTTTTTCAACAAATATGTAAATACAATTTGATTTTATGACGCTACGTCATAAAATCTTGAACTAATCATATCAGAGTCATAAAAACACATCTCTTAAAATTCAGAGTGCCCTTAACTGTTGGATTCAAAGTGTGTTTTTAACATAGCATTCCATAAAACATATACGGCTGTAATTCATTCACGTACAGTTCAGAAAATAATCAAGATTCCAATTTGAATTGGAAGCCCCTATATGGTATTTGTGTCGCTTGGCATATGAGGAAAATAATGAAATCCGGAGGTTTATTCCTTTTTATTACTCAAAGAAATCTGTCACAAAATACCACAGAAGAGAATCCGTCCTTGAGCAGTGCGTACCTTGTTTCTGAATTGGACAATATCAGTTGGTCTTAAGTATGTCGGTGCTACAAAAGAACCTATTTGACGTGGTATTGCTGAGACACGCGGAGAACCAATACTGTAAAATAACAAGAAAAAACTGGAATATAACTATTTCTCATGAAGCTCAGTCTTTGTATAGGAAATAATGCGACCGCCATAGATATCTCTTCGGAAATAGACTCCCGGTTTTGTTTGTCCTTCTGTCATAGGGGATGTTTAGCGTTTTTGAATGTTAAACCTGTTCTTGGGGACACGGGAAGGGCAGTGGTGGGATAATACAAGGATAAGGACATCTTGTTCGCAGATTTACCTTTGAGAGAACATAAGTCCAAGATCATGACAATAATCACAAGAACAAATCTTGTGTGTTCCGGTTTTCCTCACAGCGGGTGGGGATTTGTCTAACAATATCACGATAATGTTCCCTTGCTTGCAACAGTTGAATTAGATGGTGGGTGGATTAACGTGTTGGCCGGGAAACGTCTTGTGAAGTGCGGGAGGGGTAGATGGACGGGCAGTTTCCTTAAGGGTATGAGAGGTAGATTAAAGGTGCAACTCAGGTGCAAGGTTTTATGCTATTGTTACTACTAATGTCTTTCTTGTACTGTCTGTTTTACAATACATCAGTACAATGGGGATTATTTTGTGGTTTCCTGTGTCTGAGGACCGTGGAATCTGACAGTTGTATTCAATTATATGTTATTCATTTTACATTTTTTGAATGAGTGAGTTGAATTTACGCCGCTTTGTATTTGGAAGGCGACTGACGCTTCAAAAACCGTATCACGTTACACAAATGATTCGAATATCTTCCAGCAAACATTTATAAAGTACAACCAATAAAAAATGACAAAACCCTTTTCATAAATATAAGACATATATGCTAAAAAACATACGTTTCCGAAATATAATCAGCACCATCAAATAAAAGTCATCATAAATATCAATTAACAATTCATAAGTTTAATTCCATTTTTATCTATTATTCAATTATGGTAATCATAATTCAAAATAATACTAAAATAGACTTAAGTTTGATTTGTGACATTTGTAATTATTAGTCAGAAGCTGATCAGTATGAAAGAACGAAGATACCAGATGATACCTATTCTATTGTCTCCATACTCGTTTGTCTAAAAAACAAATTTTATTACCATGGGATGGTTTCTTGCAAAACTTGAATATTTATCACAATTAATACACTTTGACAGTGTGCCAGGTATGGCATTAACTTTGACGCCGCTGATATTCTTGTCAGGTTTAGAAATAGAACCACTGGTGTTTTTGCCTCCGAAATAATACGCCCTCGGATACATAAATGTGCGGTTGCTTTCTCAAATGAAGAGATATTTGCCTTGCCAGAAATTAATCATGATAACATTCGAGGAAATCAAATTTTGAAGAAAACCACAGCGCTTCCTTAGTCATTTTTCATGTTAATTGTAACAGAGTCAGTATTCTTGCATCTTTCAGACTATAATCGCAGAGGGGATGCATGATGAAGGGGAACTCTGTAAGACAGCATGAAGAGGACGGTGATGAAGAACAAAGGGTTAGGATCACACTGTATTGTTATTGAACATCATATACACCCTATTTTATTTAATGTTTTATTTAGAAATTCGGAGTGGGTCGTGTGTGGGATGTTTACATGATGCATATCCTAGGTGATATTTCAACAGAAGTATGGAGTGTTTAACGCCTCGTCTTTTGGCTTCCTAGATCAAAGTGTTTTGGGGAGGCGTGTAGTAATGAATAAAGTAGATATTGGACCGACAGTTTAATATTCTGATTTGGGGTTGGCGGTGTGTTTTTGTCGGTCACTGCTTAAGGTATACACTTAGTCTATTTTTTCTGTGAAAGGGGTAGCCAAAGAATTATACTACACAAATGAAGTAAAGGACAACCCGATTATGTTTCATATTAGTATGGTTAATCTGTCCTGCAAACGAATCGGATGGTCCTTAACTTCTTTTGAGTAGTATATTTTCAGGACAGTTAACATGTCCAGCGGAACTTTCTTGAGAACAAATGTTGTTTTTTGTCAAAACAATCCCATCCAATTAGTAGTTGAAGTAATAGATGAAACAAAAGATCTGGTAGATCAACATTTAGTCCAAGAAGATTATCTTATATCTAAAAATATATATATACCTACTAAATAAAAAGTGAAATCCGAATGGAGCCCAGAACAATGCTGGGGAAATGTAGACTTGCTAAATCATTCTAGACTTGATTCGGATTCATGTTTAATTTATTATCTTGGGCCTGGAAGACTGAAGAAGTGGTTGTAGTATTTGTGCTTCTAGCGTTAGTGAGGGTAGTAGTAGTAGTAGTAGTAGTAGTAGTAGTAGTAGTAGGGGCGGTGATTGTAGTGGTAGTGGTAGCCGAAGCCGTATATGAAACGTCGTAACGTACGTGCTTCATGGAACAGTTAACGTTAATGTTCGAGGAATCTTTCAGATTATTCATACGATTAGCTGCTT